GGCACACCCCTGACATGTTTCGTGGCTCCATAAGGAGCTCCACCGAAGGCCCCAGTGCCCGCGCCCGCATGCGTCACCCACACCCATTTCGGCACACCCCTCACACGTTTCGTGGCTCCATAGGGAGCTCCACCGAAGGCCCCAGTGCCCGCGCCCGCATGCGTCACCCACACCCATTTCGGCACACCCCTCACACGCTTCGTGGCTCCATAGGGGGCTCCACCGAAGGCCCCAGTGCCCGCGGCCGCATGCGTCCCCCACACCCATTTCGGCACACCCCTCACACGTTTCGTGGCTCCATAGGGAGCTCCACCGAAGGCCCCAGTGCCCGCGGCCGCATGCGTCCCCCACACCCATTTCGGCACACCCCTCACACGTTTCGAGGCTCCATAGGGAGCTCCACCGAAGGCCCCAGTGCCCGCGGCCGCATGCGTGGTGGTGAAGCAGTTCGGCACAAACCCGACCACGGCACATGTTTCGTGCTCCAAGGGCTCCACACCGAAGGCACCAGTGCCCGCGGCCGCATGCGTTCACCACACCCATTCGGCACACCCCTCACCACGTTCGTGGCTCCAGGAGGGAGCACCGACCGAAGGCCCCATTGGCCCGCGGCCGCATCAGTCACCCACACCCATTTCGGCACACACACCTCACACGTTTCGTGGCTCCATAGGGAGCTCCACCGAAGGCCCCAGTGCCCGCGGCCGCATGCGTCACCCACACCCATTTCGGCACACCCCTCACACGTTTCGTGGCTCCATAGGGAGCTCCACCGAAGGCCCCAGTGGCCGCGGCCGCATGCGTCACCCACACCCATTTCGGCACACCCCTCACACGTTTCGTGGCTCCATAGGGAGCTCCACCGAAGGCCCCAGTGGCCGCGGCCGCATGCGTCACCCACACCCATTTCGGCACACCCCTCACACGTTTCGTGGCTCCATAGGAACTCCACCGAAGGCCCCAGTGCCCGCGGCCGCATGCGTCACCCACACCCATTTCGGCACACCCCTCACACGTTTCGTGGCTCCATAGGGAGCTCCACCGAAGGCCCCAGTGCCCGCGGCCGCATGCGTCCCCCACACCCATTTCGGCACACCCCTCACACGTTTCGTGGCTCCATAGGGAGCTCCACCGAAGGCCCCAGTGCCCGCGGCCGCATGCGTCCCCCACACCCATTTCGGCACACCCCTCACACGTTTCGTGGCTCCATAGGGAGCTCCACCGAAGGCCCCAGTGCCCGCGGCCGCATGCGTCCCCCACACCCATTTCGGCACACCCCTCACACGTTTCGTGGCTCCATAGGGAGCTCCACCGAAGGCCCCAGTGCCCGCGGCCGCATGCGTCACCCACACCCATTTCGGCACACCCCTCACACGTTTCGTGGCTCCATAGGGAGCTCCACCGAAGGCCCCAGTGCCCGCGGCCGCATGCGTCACCCACACCCATTTCGGCACACCCCTCACACGTTTCGTGGCTCCATAGGGAGCTCCACCGAAGGCCCCAGTGCCCGCGGCCGCATGCGTCACCCACACCCATTTCGGCACACCCCTCACACGTTTCGTGGCTCCATAGGGAGCTCCACCGAAGGCCTCAGTGCCGCCGCCCGCATGCGTCACCCCCACCCATTTCGGCACCCCCCGCATTTCTCGCACGGCAGGGTCATCACCACGGTGGCGTGCCAGGGGCGCACCATGCGCGAAGGCGACGGGGCGGGGGAACGGCGCTCCGGGGGCGGCCAGACCTCCGGGGCGCGAGCAGTCCGCGGCCAGACCATCTCTCGGTCCTGTGGACTCTCGCCCTGGGCCGTCGGCTGCCCGGCGCGCTGCTCCCTCGGTCGACGTCGCCCAGGCGTGATCCTGGATTGCGGCCGCCACGAGGTAGGGAACGGCAAGAAGGAGGACGACGACTGGTGGCTGGAGCTCTACGTGCTGCTCTCGCGCGCCACGCGCCACGAGGACCTCCTGCTCATGCGGGCGCCGCGCATCGAGTTCTTCCTGGCAGGGCCGCCGCAGGGCTTGCGGAAGCAGCTGGAGCAGTTTGCTGCGCGCACGAAGCGGTGCAGGAGGGAAGCGACGGCCCTCGCCAGGGAGCTCGGCTTCACCGAGTTCATCCGCGAGGCCTGACCTGAGGAGCGTCTCCCCCGAGCCGCGCCTTCTCTCGACTGCCCGACTAATTGTTTGGCCTCGCGCCGCGGACGACCCGCGCGCGTCGCTGGGACCCTCTCGGGGCGACCAGCGCGCGTCGCGGGAACTCCGTGCTGCGGGGGGCCCGGCGCCTCGTTCGCCCGTCGTCGCTCTGCCCAGCGGTCAGAGACTTGCCCGCTATCAGCCAGCCAGTTAGCTAGTCAGCTCTCTCTGCTTCGCGCAGCGGACGACCCGCGCGCGTCGCTGGGGCCCCGCCCGGGGCGACCAGCGCGCGTCGCGGGGACTCCGCGCTGCGCTGCGCCCGCAGCCTTGGATTTTGGAGTGCGCGGGCAAAGAGGAAGGAAAAGAAGAGCCGAAAGCGGGCGCGATCCTCGCAAGAGGCGTGCCGACATGGGCGTCGCGACGTGCGGACGCTGCCGTCGGGGTTCCCGCGGAAGCTGCCTGCGGCGGCCACGCCCAGTGTCACGTGTGTTCGGACAGGCATGCTCGAACCATTCACATTCATATACACTTACACTAGGCGTTTCCATGATCGCATTCATGCAAATATATTCATTCGCGCGCAGACCCATTCATACTCAGATTCCCTCGCGCTCTGACTCACCCGCGTTCTTTCTTTCGTAATCAGATCTATCGGATTCCTTTGCGTTGTGTACCCCGCCACATTTCGGCACACCCCTCATGCGGTTCGTGGCCCCATAGGGAGCGCCACCGAAGAAGATACTCACAATTGCGATACTCACAACTGCATATGGTTGGGTCCTTCGCCAGGATAATTTTAATACGAATGCACGCGGCGCTAAGGCGAGAACCACATGTTGAACACGACTCGCCCTGAATCCGTGAAACTCTTGCACAACTTTAAGAAGAATGTGCACGAAGCTACAGCGATAACCACATGTTGAAAACGACCCGCTCTCAATCCGTGAAACACGTGCAGATGCTTAAACCACGTGCGTGCGGCGCTAAGGCGAGCGCCACATTTTGAAAACGACCCGCCCTCCATCTGTGAAGCTGGTGCCACGTGGTAAGGTACACAGTCATTCGTGGTGCGGAACTCTCAGGCGAAACGCCCGGCCGGCCCTAAAAATGGGCTCGGGGTGCGACAGGGAGAAGCGATTAATAAGGAGAAGGAATGGAGGAGGAGGAGGAGAAGGAGGAGGAGGAGGAAGAAGAAGAAGAGGAGGAGGAGGATGAGGGTGGAAGAGGGGAAGAAGGAGGAGGAGGAGGAGGAAGAGGAGGAGAGGGAGGACGGAAAGAAGAGGAGGAGGAAGAGGGAGCGGAGGAAGACAAGGAGAAGGAGGACAAGGAGGAAAAGTAGGAGGAGGAGGAGGAGGGGAGGGGAAAGAGGAGGAGGAAGAGAAGGAGGAACAGTAGGAAGCGGTGGAGAAGGAGGAGACAGGAGGAAGGAGAACGAGGAGGAAGAGGAGGAGGAGGGGGAAGAGGAGGAAGAGGAGCGAGGAGGACGGATGAGGAGGAATTTGGGGAAACACGAGGAGGAGGAGGAACGAGCGGAGGGGGAGGAGGAGGAGGAGGGGAGGAGGAGGGAGGAGGAGGAGGAGGAGGAGGAGGAGGAGGAGGAGGAGACGTGGCGTAAAAGACAAGGACGACGCGGGAGAGGGAGGAGGGGGGACAAGTAGGATGAGGAGAACGAGGAGGACGAGGAGGGAGGAGGAAGAGGAGGAGGAGGAGGGGGAGGAGGAGGAAGAGGAGCGAGGAGGAGGATGAGGAGGGAAGTGGCGGAAAAAAGAGGAGGAGGAGGACCAGCGGGATGGGAGGAGGAGGAGAGGAGGAGGAGGAGTGAGGAGGAAAGGAAAGGAGGAAAAAGAGGAGGAGGATCAGGAGGATGGGGAGGACAAGGAGGAGGAAAAAAAGGGGGAGGAGGAGGAGGAGGAGGAAGAGGAAGGCAGGAGGAGGAGGGGAGGGGGGGGAGGAGGAGAGGAGAGGAGGAGAGAGGAGGAGGAGGAAGGAGGAGGAGGAGGAGGTGGAGGAAACGAAGAAGAAGCGGAGGAGGAGGACGAAGAGGACGAGAAGGGGGAGGGGGAGGAGGAGGAGAGGAGAAGGAGGAGGAGGAGGAGGAGGAGGAGGACTAGGCGGAAGATGAGGAGGAGGAGGAGGAATCGAAAGGAGCCCGATGGACGGGGAGGCGGCCGACTCGCCTCCCTGCCGCCCGATTCCGCGGCAGGCCGGCGAGTGCCGGCTGGCGCGGCGGAGGCAGACGCTGCAGAGGCCCCCCCCCCCGCGTGGGAGGAGGCGACGGCCGCGCGGCTCCCTGCACAGGGGCCCTCCTCCGCCTCCCCTCCTCCTCCTCCTCCTCCACTCCTCCTCCTCCTCCTCCTCCTCTTCCTCTCTCTCCTCTCCCTCTCCTCTCCTCTCTCTCCTCCTCCTCCTCCTCCTCCTCCTCCTCCTCCTCCTCCTCCTCCTCTTCTTCCTGCTCCTCCCCCTCTGCTCGCACAGCGTGGCGCGGGCCCCATCGTCCGCGCGACCCACTGCCACGCCTGCTGGATGGCAGGCGGGAGGCGGGGAGAGAACGAGAGAGTAAGAGAGTGAGAGAGAGAGAGAGAGCACAGAAAAACGAGAGAGAGAGTGATAGAGCGGGAGGGAGAAAGAGAGAAAGAGAGAGAAACAGAAACAGAGAAGAGAGAGAGAGAGAGAGGGAGAGAAAGAGATATAGAGAGAGAGAGAGAGAGACTCCACTTGCGCGGTCTCAGCGTGGATCTCCGCGCCCCTCCGCCCGCCCGCCGGCCCCGACCGCCGCGGGCCTTCCTCCTCCTCCTCCTCCTCCTCCTCCTCCTCCTCCTCCTCCTCCTCCTCCTCCTCCTCCTCCTCCGCTCGCACGGCGTGGCGCGGGCGATGTTTCAATCCAAGGCCGCGCGCGCGCGCCAGGGGCCGCGCCGACGGTGACCGCGTCTCCTCGACGTCGCGCTGCAGTGGGTCGCACGCGCGCGCCGCAGGGGCCGCGCCGACGGTGACCGCGTCTCCTCGACGGCGAGCCGAAGTGGGTGAGGTCCGCGCCGCAGGGGCCGCGCCGACGGTGACCACGTCTCCTCGACGGCGCGCCGAAGTGGGCAGGGGGGCGAGCGGGCGGCTTTGCTTCTTCGAAGCCACCCTGCCCTCCCGGCGGAACCTCAGAGTCCACCGGAGGAGCCCCCGTCGCGGGCACACGGAACCCCCCTTTAGGAGACCTCCCTCTGGTGAACACGGCCTGGGGGGTGGGGGGGGGGTGGGGGGGGGGAGGGGGGGGGGGGGAGGGGGCAAAACACGCAGGCGCAAACCAGCAGAACTGGCGGCCGCATTGCCCTCTCGAGAGGCCGAAACAACACAGGGAGCCCACCGGAAGGACGCGCGCGCCCAGCCGCGCACGTGCACACGGCCTCCCCGGTCTGCGAGGCCGGCCTCGTGCTGCGATCGTTCGCGCAGCGCGTGCTCTCGGAACCAACGCGGGCTCGCGTACGTGTAACTACATACGTACTTCTCTCGCATCTGAAATGCGGTCGGACCCAAGACATAATAACATCCCGCAAGAGCATGAGACCCTGCGCCGGCCAAAGCACCCCAAACCACGGGATCACTCGGGGCTGCCCTCCCCCGAGGTGCACAACAGACATCCAACAAGGCACGAAGAACAGCAGGGCACCTTCCCCGAAGCGACCTCTATCCTATGCCTCGCGCCGCCCGAGCGCGACTCCATGGGGCGGACTCGCGAGTCTGCTTGGCAAGACGGAGGTCCCATCAGTTCCCCACCCCTGCCCTTCGAGTAAGGCCGCCGCCCTCGCCTCCTCACACCCCTTACCCCTTTGGGCGCGCCGCCAGCCGCTCGGCTTCACGCAGGGGCGGCCCTTTGGCAAGGCAGGAACGACTGCCCTTGCTGCACGGCTCAAGGGGGACGCGCAGGGGGTCCAGGGGGGGGGTCATACCCAAGCGCCTAGGCCGCTGCTGTCTCATCGCAGTCAGCGATCGGGGGACTACAGTGAGCCCGCACCTGAGCAGAAGAAGAAAGAACTGACCTTCCGGGGGTACACTTGGGAGCCCCCAAACTTCCGGTGGTGAGATATCAGAAGAACCCCCAAAAAATCACCGCCGGGTTTGGGGGCACGGGGTCATGGCAGGGCTGTGTGACTCCTGGACCCACCAGCGTCCGGGACATCCTCGAAAGAACACACGAGTCTCCATGCCGGGTGGTGACACCAATTTGCCCGAGACTCACAGGCAAAGTGCTGTCACCACCACGTCTGGAGACGACTGCCAATACACGCGGATCTCTTGGGTCGGCACTGGCCTCCCAGGAGCGCGCGGAGCGCACCAGGGGGCCCCAGGCGCGCAAATCCAGGACATCCCCGCGCGGGCCTCCCAAAAACTGAGGCTAGTGCCGCATCTTCTTCTTTTGGCGGCGAGCGAGGGGGGGAGGTGAGGAGGAGAAGGCCTTCTCAAGAGGTTCGGAAGTCCCCCCCCGGCCTGCTGAGAAGTGCTCCGGGCCTCCCCCGAAGACAGACACGAAACAAAACCTTCTCAGAAGGCGCGAGGGCTTCTGAGAAGTCCCGCCGCCTTCTGAGACACTTGCCCCCCTCGCTCGCCGCCGGCTCTTCTTCGGCGAAGGCCACCCTGGCGACGGGCCACTCTTCCGAGGCGGCGAATTCTACCCATAACCTCAGGCTGAGGTTAGCTGACCACCGCCTGCGGACCGATCTGCGGGGATCTCGGCAGGCAGCGGATGTGGAGATGTTCGGGCCCTGCGGAGGCCCAAGTATAGCCATATCCGCCGCCTGCTGCGAGGATCGATCCCCCCAGGCGGTCAGAGGCGGCCAAGAGGCTCTCACCTGGATGGGGCCTGAGAAAATCTGTCAGAAGGGGGGACGACATCGAGGAACTCAAAAATCGATTCCCGGACCCCTCCAGGGGTCCCAGCCCGAATTTTGTTGGCGGTCCTGGGTCCTGGGAGCCAGAAACGCCCTCGCGAGACCAAACTAGGCATGAAACCTCCGTCTCGTACCCCTTCCCCTGCGTCTTGCTGGCCGGAACCACTGATGGGCCACCACAGCCAGCTCCCACCAGGCGGTGCTCATGGATAGATCCTCGCCTCGCAAGCCGTTGCGTGGCAAGACGGCATAAACATAAACTGTTGGCGCTCCGCGCGGACCTCTTGGATCTGCACTGGGCCCCCCTCTCCATGGCGCGCGTAGCGCGCCAGGGGCGGCGCCAGAGGCGCCGCTGCGGGGGGGCCCGGCGCGGATCCGAGAAAGCCGCGCGGAGCGCCGACACCTTATGCTAATGGCGTTCTTTCTTCTTCGAGCGAAGCCGGATCTCCTGCGGAGGTGGCCTTCCAGCCCTCCGGGCGCCCGCGGCCGGGCCGCGCGAGCTCGAAGGCCAACCAGGCCGCCTGCAGGACCGCCACGGGCTCCTCGCGGTGCGCCGCGCCCGCGGCCTGGCCGGAGGCGTGGGGCGCCGAAGGGCAGACCCAGCACGGCCTAACGCAAGACACAGTGGGGGTTCTTTCTTGCCTATGTTTAAGTCGGGCCTGTCCCCCTACAGGGGGATTTTCGACGAAAAATAAAAGATACCCCCAAAAATAATCCAAAAATAATCACAAAATAGTCCGGGGACTATTTTTTCAATAGTTTTTGCCTTTTTGGGGGGGCATGTTGGGGGTATCTTTCATTTTTCGTCGAAAGCCCCCCTGTAGGGGGACACGCCCGACATAAGCCTGTGCTGGAACCTTCCTCCTGCAGCGTGACGTGCCCGGCACACGTTCGCACCCGCCCTGAGGCCCCGGAGGCCTCCCGCCCTCCCGCCGCCGCCCGCCCGCCCGAGCACGCGCCCAGCCCCGGGGAGCCAACGGAGCCGGCACGCGTGCACCGGCGCCACCCCGAGGCTCGCCGAGGCTCCTCGGCCGTGCTGGCTGGCCCTCCTGGGCATGCAGTTGAAGAGGGCCCCAGGACACACACACACACACCAAGAAATGCACGCAAATGTAAAAAGATGCCCCATGGTTTCCCATGTTGTCTTGGATGTTGCCTTCCCCCCACTTCCCATATTTTCCCATCTTTTCTGGGGACTCGACCACTAATTGTGTCTGTGTGTTTCTTTCCCTCCGGAGCAGTGGGGGCCCGACCGTAAGGAACCCTCCGCAAGAGACCCAGCCTGAGACCCCAGGTCGTCCATCGAGTTTTGGTGTGGGGACGTCACGCTGTTACATCCAAACCCAGGAAGCCCAGGGCACCCTGGAGGCAAGTGGGTGTTTCTTGGCATGGGTCTCCACTGTAGGGCTGCGCGGAAAGGACGCCGAAGGCTGGCAAATCCGTGGCTGCTAAAACGGTCTTCCCACAAGAACAAAAATCCCGGAATAAAAATCAGCGCACTAAATACTAAACGGGTTGCTTCCCGGAAGAAAAACAATTTCCTGGAGCTCCGTTTTAGCAGCAACGGGTTTGCCAGCCTTCGCCTGGCTTCTGAGATAGACCAGCACTGCCAAACGCAAAACAAGAATGCTCGGCAAGGCTGCAGAGGCCTCGGAGGGCCATCCTGGCGTGCTCCGAAGGGGGCGCGATCGAAGGAGCGGGGAAGGGCCGAGGCCAGCGAAGGCTGCCAAGGATAACTAGGCCGAGGGGGCAAGCATTAGGTCGGGCGTGTCCTCCTACAGGCGAATTTTGGATGACAAATGAAAAACACAAATGCTCAATAGTAATCAAATATTGTCACAATAAATACATCGTCCCCAGATCATGTTTGGACTATGTTTGAATATTCCTCCTGTAGAGGGACACGCCCGATTCGAGGCAAGGACGCAAGTGCAACCTTGGAAAGCTGCCTATCCTCACTGTGCGCTTGGACTGCGCGTTATGCGCTGGTACTGGAGGCGCACGTCCGGCACGAAAGAAGTACCCCAAATCGTAGCGTATCGTCTCCCGTTTTGACGCCCGAAATGGATACCGAAGAGATGGGCACACTGCCCAACAACAACTGTTGCCCCAGACCAACAGCGGCCGCTGCTGGGCAGGCGGCCGCTTGTCCCAAGTGGACAGAGGCCGCGGCGGCGCGGACAGCTAGTCTGGTCCAAAATGTACAGGAACTGCTGTTGGGCATCGTAACCATTCTTTCCGTACCCATTTCGTTCGTGCATTTCTCGGTTTCGTGCGTGCTCTTTTTGCTCGATGGTCCAGGATGGTCCTCCATGGCTCTCGCCGAGGAGACATGCACACGCCCGAGCGATGCCAAGGAACTGGACCGCATCGGAACCGCGGCCCCGGCCGGCCAACCGAACCGGATCGAATCGGCTCGCGGTCGGCCCTCTTCAGATACTCCAGATTTCGTAATAAAAAGGGAGGGGGTCTGGACCCTCCAAGACAAGCCATTTCAGACCTCCCCCGTGGGAGAACCCTCCAAAACATCGTCCCCAGACCCCCCAGGCCCTCCAAGATAGCCTGGAAGAGACCCCCCCCGAAATGAGACCCCCTCCCTTTTATTACGAAATCTGGAGTGCCTATGGCCTCTTCGACGCCCGGCGGCGCTCTGCCTCCGGGCCTCGGCCGTTCCGGACGAGCCGGGCACCACGGGAGCGCTCTCGGCAAGGGCGCAGCCGCTGGAAGCCTCCCGCGGCCGCGGCGAGCCCCGTGCGCCGACGAAGGCGTCCGGAAGGCGACCTCCAGCCTTGTCAGACCCTCCTCGTCTTAAGTCGGGCGTGTCCCCCTACAGGGGGGACTTCGACGAAAAATGTAAAATACCCCCCAAAATAGTCGAAACCTAGTCCAACAAATAGTCTGGGGACTGTTTTTGGTGTATTTTTGTTGATCTTTTTGGGGCATTTTTGGGGTAATGTTTATTTTTCGTCGAAAATCCCTCTGCAGGGCGACACGCCCGACATATAATCCTCGTCCGAGATGCGATCGTCGGCCGCCCCGAACGGCGAGGCGCCGGCGTCCGGAGGCACCCCGAGGCCGGAGGACCGCCGAGGGCCGACGAGGACGTCCGTTGAAGGGATCTCTCCGGCCTCGAGGCCAAGGAGGAGGGAGGGAGAGGAGGAGGAGGAGGAGGAGAAGGAGGAGGAGGAGGAGGAGGAGGAGGAGGAGGAGGAGGAGGAGGAGGAGGAGGAGGAGGAGGAGGGAGGAGGAGGGGAGGAGGAGGAGGAGGAGGAGGAGGAGGACGAGCCGCAGTCGCAGGCGGCCCCGACCGTCCCCGGGGGGCTCTCGGCGAGGCGCAGCCGCTCGGAGGCACCCGACGAGAGCCGCCGAAAGACATTGTTTGATTCGCGGGTCGAGAGCGCACCTCTTCCGGTCGAAGCTAAGCGGGCCGCGCGAAGCTTGAATTAACCATTGAGGGGGAGGAAAAAGGGGGAGCCGCCGAAAGACATCCGACGTCCGGAAGGGAGCCTCCAGCCGCGAGCCCTCCTCGACCGGGAGCCGCGATCGCAGTCGTGGTCCCGACCGTCGGGCACACGCTGTGACACGGGTCAGGAGTGGCTCTCTTTTGCCATCGGTCGATGCGCTTTTCGGTGTCGTGCGCGCTTGTCTGGCTGAGTGGTCCAAGGTGTGCCTCGTAGAACGAATGCACACGTCCCAGCAATGCCAAGTTCTGGTCCACGGGCGCCAGATTCATGGATCGGGGAAGGTGCCCCCCGAGAAATGGAGCCGGTACCGCCTCATCTGGCGACAGAGCGCGCCGATGTGGCATGGAAACGGGGCTCGTCGCTATTCCACATTGCCTTACCTTATAATTAGCAGGTCCGCGCGGATTTCTTGGCGCGGGGCTGAACCCCCTTCACCGGCGCGCGGAGTGCGCCATGGGCGGCGCCCGAGGCGCCGCCGGAGGGGGGGGGGGGCAGCCCCGATCCAACAAATCCCACCGACCGCTTTTGTTTGCATGGCGAAATCGCATCTTCGACTAATCCATACTGGGGCTCCATCGAGACTGGCCCCGACTAAGGCCTCGAGAAATGAAGAAAGACAGAGTTCGGAGAGGGCTTCCGAGTCTTCCGCTGACGACGAGGGGCTCCGAAAACGTGGCAACAAGCCAAACGCCTGAGATATCATTACGCTAATTCACATAATCCGCTGCGCGAGGTGATAAGGACAGGCTTGTGAGACCCATTCTGCTGTCTCGCCAGACGGGCCCTTTCCCTGCATGAGGTGCCTCGTCTCAAAAAGCCCTGGACAACCCAAGGGAGGTCTGTCTACGCCCGGCTTGACAGCCATAAACGCTGTAGAAACGCAGGATGAGTACGGCAGGTTCGCGCCGTGCCGACTTCGGCGCTGGCTTCTGACACCGCGGGGATCGTTCAACCTTGACCGATCGGCTGCCTCGGCTCGGGAACGTCCGGTCGATCACCGTCGACCAGGTCTGGATCGCCGGGGGCGTTCAATGTGCAATGTGGAATGCCAGCGGCGGGGTCTTTGTTTGTCGACACGACGAAAGGAATAGGAGGAGCAGGAGAAGGAGGAAAAGGAGGAGAAGGAGGAGGAGCAGGAACAGCAGAAGCAGGATGAGGATGAGGAGGAGGAGGAGGAGGAGGAGGAGGAGGGAGAAACAGGAAGAGGAGGAGGAGAAGCAGGAGGAGGAGCAGGATGAGGAGGAGGAGGAGGAGCAGGATCGAGGGAGAGAGGGGGAGGGAGGGTGGGAGGGGAGGGAGGGGGGAGGAGAAGGAGGAGGAGAGGAGGAGGAGGAGGAGGAGGAGGAGGAGGAGGAAGGAGGAGGATGAGGAGGAGGAGGAGGAAAGAGGAGGGGGAGGAGGAGGGGAGAAGAGGAAGAGGAGGAGGGGGTGGAGGAGGAGGAGGAGGAGGAGGGGGGGGGAGGAGGAGGAGGAGGAGGAGGAGAGGAGGAGGAGGAGGAGGAGGAGGAGGAGGAGGAGAGGAGGAGGAGGAGGAGGAGGAGGAGGAGGAGGAGGAGGAGGAGGAACCAGACCCCCGACGTCGTGTTTTTTCACAATGTCGACCCCCAGCAGTATGGACTTGACGGCCCCGAGGCCCAGAGAGGGCCCCCGGAAGCCGAAAATAGCGAAGAACCTCCCGCCGTGATTTTTTCACAACGCGAGGGGGCCCGGGGAGAGCACCCAGAGGCCGAAATAGCGAACAACCTCCCGTCGTGATTTGTTTCACAGCAAGGAGAGGAGGGAAGAGAAGGAGGAGGAGGGGAGAGGAGGAGGAGGAGGAGGAGGAGGAGGGAGGAGGAGGGGAGGAGAGAGGAGGGAGGGAGGGAGGGAGGGAGGGAGGGAGGGAGGGAGGGAGGGAGGAGGGAGGAGGGAGGAGGGAGGGAGGGTGGAGGGAGGGAGGGGGGAGGAGGAGGAGGAGGAGGAGGAGAGGAGGAGGACCCCCGAGCCTCCAGGGCGGGCGCCAGGGCGCCGCGGGCGCCCTCCCCCCAGCGGCCGTCGGCGGGGAACGCCCCGAGCTCCTCGCAGGCGCCTGCCGCGAGGCCGCCGAGCCCCGCCACGCCCTCGAACGAAGGAGGGGGGGCAAATGTCGAGGAGGAGGAGGAGGAGGAGGAGGAGAAGGAGGAGAAGGAGGAGGAGGAGGAGGAGGAGGATGGATGAGGAGGAGGAGGAGGAGGAGGAGGCAGGAGGAGGAGGAGGAGGAGGGAGGAGGAGGAGGAGGAGGAGGGGAGGAGGAGGAGGAGGAGGAGGAGGAGGAGGAGAGGAGGAGGAGGAGGAGGAGGAGGAGGAGGAGGAGGAGAAGGAGGAGGAGGAGGAGTAGTTGTGAGGAGGTGAGGAGGAGGAGGAGGAGGAGGAGGAGGAGGAGGGAGGAGGAGGAGGAGGAGGAGAAGGAGGAGGAGGAGGAGGAGGAGGAGGAGGAGGAGGAGGAGGGGGGCGCAAAACATGGCCAGCTGCACGTGCGCGGCCCAGGGGGGGGGCGGGGACGTACTGAAGGGGAGGTGCCATGAGACCTGGGAAGATCTCATGGCCCCCGCCAGGATATCCCCCTGGTCATCACCCCTCTCTCTGCCGCCCCCGAGAAGGAGCGCCCCACGAGGGCGAGACTTGGGAGGCAACTCGTGAACTCCACGTCATGGACTCCGTGGACCTCCCTTTAATGGGGCTCTGTGAAACACTGGTGCGGAGTGAGACAGCAGAGGAAAAACAACTATGCACATAGACTGATTCTGGCCAACCCCATCCTGAGCCCAGGATCGGTGCATACGCCCTCCTACCTTGGCCAGGAAGGCATGTGCACCGATCCTGGGTCAAGGATGGGCCTTGCCAGGATCGGTGCATGTGCATAATTCTCTTCGCCCGAGACAGGAAGGAGTATCCGCTTTTTTCGGCGAAGCTATGTCTCCTTCTCATTCTCTTCCTCCTCCTCCTCCTCCTCCTCCTCCTCCTCCTCCTCCTCGTCTTCCTCCTCCTCCGCACCCGTCTCTCCTCTTCGGAACTCCTGGGAGGTCGTCGTCGGAACGATTAAAGGCTATCGGGCACGATTCGGGGGCCATGGAGCCGGATTCGTCCAGCTGGAGCGTGGCATGATGCCGGATTACACGGGGCTGGCCAAGACTGAGCAGGATCGAGCTGTGCTGAGCCGGATCAGGCCTGTTTTCGACAAGGGACACACTCGGGGATGGACAGACCCCCCTTTAGCAAAACGTGGTTTAGTGAAAACGACCTGAGGCCCAAACCTGGCGGGCGCAAGCCTGGACAATAGCGGCCACGGCGCCCTCTCGAGAACCGAAAACGGACAATTCACTGATCGACGTGTCACGATTGGGGGTTCTGTCCACGCCCGACACACGAGCGCGGATTCTGAATCTAGCCTCCCGGGAGCTGCATCCCAACAACACCCCTCCGCAGACGCGCTTGCAGCCATCGTGGCACCACGGAGGGAGTCGGATGAAGCACGAGCGAAAGGGCTCTTCCGGCCACGGCGCGCTTGGGGCAGCGGCTGGGCTGCCCGACCAGGGTCCAAGGAGCAGCCCGATATCAGGGGGACGTAAGACCTGGGTACAGGGGACTCGGAAATCCCCGACGAGGTCGTCAAAAAAATGACAAGGCCGAACCTACATTCTGACGAGGCCTCCCGCTGCAGACATCCCACGAAACTCCTCCTGGTCAAAATCCGAGGCGCGGTCGTCAAAAAACGATGGCGAACCCGAGTCCTGGCAAACCCGGGTCTTACGCTCCCCCGACGATAGCGCAAGCCCCTCGGCGACCCCCTCTCAACAAACGCCCCGAAAAGGGGGGCAGTGTTAGGGGGGAGCGTCGGGGAGACCCTCGTCGGACAAACGGAAGGCTAGAAGGCCCAGGCCATCAAGCCCGGCTAGCTCAGGTCAGCCTCGTATGCCGCCCGAAACAACCAAATTAGCCCCATGCCCCTAGTAATCACAGGGCGGGGCTCACAAAGTTCAGGGTTCGGGAAGATCACATGTGCTTCCCCCGCAACTCGTACGCACGACGATGTGCTGGTACTTGGGAGAGCTGAGGGGATCAAGGCCGTACAGCTCGGCAACGCGCTCCGGCTTGGGAGAGCCGGCAAGGTTTAGAAGCCCGTCGGCCTGCACCGAGCTCGTGGCTCGGGCAAGCTGCAGTGGTGAGATGCCCGTGGCTTTGCCCCACGCTCGCGAGCGTGGAAAGCTGGAACGGTGAGAACCCCCCGGCCCTGCCGCACGCTCATGAGTCAGGATTTCTGAGCTGGTGAAAACCCCATAGCCCTGCCACGCGCTCGTGATAGAGTTGCTACTCCGCACCAAGAGGATCGCAACTTCGATTTGTATTCTCCTCGGCGATAATGAAAATCGGCCTCGCCGCCCCGCTCCCCCGACCAGCTCTGTCTTGGACCGGGGTCATCAACTCTCAAAGGTTAACGGGGGATGATAGATTATCCGGGGTGCGGGATTAAATGGGTCTATACGGAATTGACGAGGATGATCCTGGACTGGGCATATCTGCAACCACGGATATCCCAGCGCCAATGCTGAATCTAACCTCCCAAGAATTGCATCCCGACATGCAGGCAGAACCCTTCCCCAAACTGGGGGTGACTGTGGTGCGGCAAACGCCCAGGACCGACCATCAAACGCCAGCCGTGGGGGTCGGGGCGCTCTGCCCGTGCCTTGGAAAGCCGAAACGTTCCCAGGCCCGCGCGGCCCCCCTTCCCCTGGCGCGCCAGGGGCGGCGCCGCAAGGGCCGACCAGGGGGGTGCTGTGCTGGGGGGCCCAGCGACGACGGCGAGGCAGAAGAGCTGCTCCAGCGGTGAGCGATCGGGGCGACCGAAGCGCGAATTGGCCGGCGTGCAGGAGGGGAGGGACAAGACCGACGGGGCGGCCGAGGAGGACGGGAGCAGGCGGAGGGCACTCCGACGCTCTCCTCTGTGTTTGAACGAGGGGTTGGCGTGGTCTTCCTCGGAGAAAGGGGGCGCACGAGACAACGGCGGCTCTCTCCGGCCCGTCCTGGAACCCCTCCCGTGAGGGGCAACGATAGGGGGGGACTGCCACCGGGGGGGATGCATCGACCTGGGATCGGCGATACATCGCCGATAGATCGGCGATAGGCTTTCGATAGTGAACCCACACCTTCCTGGGCAGGTTGGGGATATCGGGCCCCATCGGCGATCAATGGGCGAGTGGGGGTCGATGCATCCCCCCCCTATGCCTATTCCCCCCTATCGTTGCCCCCGATCCTGGGGTCCCTCCAGATACCCGCTCGAGGCGGCTCCCGTCGTGGCGAGGAGGCCCAGGACAGCGCCACACAGAACGACGGGGGAGGGCCGCCGTTTTCTCCACTGGCCCGCTCCAAGGGTTCCTCCCTTCACTGAAAAGGGGCCCTGGGACACACAAACAAATGCGCAGACACAAGTCCCACGACTCCCCCGATTCTTCCATGCTTCTGCGTTTTCAGATTCCCCCCCAATTCCCACATGTTGCAATAGTTTCCTGTGTATGGAGGAGGAGGAGGAGGAGGAGGAGGAGGAGGAGGAGGAGGAGGAGGAGGAGAGGGGGAGGGGGAGAGGGGAGGAGGAGGAGGAGGAGGAGGAGGAGGAGGAGGAGGAGGAGGAGGAGGAGGAGGAGGAGAAGGATGGACAGGAGGAGGAGGAGGAGGAGGAGGAGGAGGAGGAGGAGGAGGACTGTGTGTTTTTCCCCTCCCGGCTGACCTCGAGCACCGGGTCCGCCGCCCGGCCGAGCGCCTTGCTGGCGCGCGCAAAAAGGGGGTGGCGCCACGGGGCGGGGCCCTCCACGAACGCCCGGAGCGGGGGGGGGGCTCGAGGGCAGGCGGCTGCCTGGAGGCCCTCCCAGCGTCTGAGGAGCCTCCTGGACATGAGACAGCACAGGCCCCCGCGTTCTGAGCAGCTCCCCGCCTCCTGAGAGGGCCGTCCCCCCCCTCCCCGACGCCCCCTGGCTAGGCACGCCCGGAATTGGCACATGCGCAGGACACGGGCACGATGGCCAACAGCAGACGCTGCCCAAAACCGACAAGGTCGCGGCTGGGCAGGCGGATTTTCGCCTCAAACGAAAACGTCCGCGGCGACACCGACAACAAGCCCTGCTCAAAACGGGACGAAGAACTGCCGTCGCTCTTCGTCCCGCTCGTCCCATACCCATGTCAATCGTACCGACTTGCGTTGTCCCAGGCACCCGACGCCGTGACTTTTTCACCAAATGCACCCCCAGAGGTCTTGAAGGAGGAGGAGGGGGAGGAGGAGGAGGAGGAGGAGGAGGAGGAGGAGGAGGAGGAGGAGGAGGAGGAGAAAGAGGAGGACCAAGTTCCCCAGGACCGGTTTTTGTTCATCAGGAGTCGGTCTCTGTCTGAAAGCCTCCAGGGGCCCGCGGCGAGGCCCAGGAAGGCCAGATACTGCCGAAGCCAGCCCGCCAGGGGTGGGGGGGGACGTCGAGCTCGAATCGCCGATGGATCGGCGATGGGCCCCAGGCATCACGAAACCGCATGCTCGCGGGCGGAGTGGGCTATCAGGCCCCTACCTGCGATCAGTGGGCGATTGGGGGTCGATGCGTGCACCCCTGTGCAGGAGGAGGAGGAGGAGGAGGAGGAGGAGGAGGAGGAACAGGAGGAGGAGGAGGAGGAGGAGGGAAGGAGGAGGAGGAGGAGGGGGAGGAGGAGGGGGAGGAGGAGGAGGAGGAGGAGGAGGAGGAGGAGGAGGAGGAGGAGGAGGAGAAGGACGCCCCCGCAGCAACTCAGGTGATTGCCTCACGGCGCGTCACCCCCGTGTGGCGTGGACGGAAGACATGCCCGTCGTATCCACGGCCCCGCTGGCCAGGCCCCTGGGCCGCGACCCCGCGGATACGGGGTGCTCTTGCGCGGATGCCGCGAGCGCGTATCTGCGGGAGCACGCCCTGGAATACAGACCGCGAGGGCGTGGACATGCACACGTTCGCCGCCCGTGTTAGGTCGGGCATGTCCATCTACAGGCGGACTGTGGACGAAAAAGAGGGTGGTTGGTGAATGATGTGACTGGTGCTTGATGGTCGATGGGTAACGTTAATTGATGATTACTGTGAGTGTGATTGATGATGGTTGAGTGAGTGGTGATTGGTGGTGGTTGTGTGATGCTGGCTGGTGAACATGACTATGAAGATGGCAATGCTGATGATGCTGATGCTGGTGCTTGTGTTGCCGGTACCGGTGCTGGTGCAGTTGCTGGTGCTGGCGCTGCTGCTGCTGTTGCTGGTGATGACGATGATAATTATGATATTGATGATGGTGTTGATAGTGATGATGACGATGACGACGATGATGACGATGATGGTGATGGTGATGGCGATGGTGATGATGATGATAATGATGATGATGGTGATGATGATGACGGCGGCGATGACGATGATGATGACGATGATGATGATGATGATGATGATGATGATGATGATGATGGTGATGGTGATGGTGATGGTGCTGATGATGATGGTGGTGATGATGATGATGATGATGATGATGATGATGATGGTGATGGTGATGATGATGATGATGATGATGATGATGATGAGGAGGAGGAGGAGGAGGAGGAGGAGGATGAAGATGATGATGAGGATGGTGATGGTGGTGGTGGTGGTGGTGGTGGTGGTGGTGGTGGTGGTGGTGGTGGTGGTGGTGGTGGTGGTGGTGGTGGTCTCCCCGGCCTGGCCGCCGAGCGCCTTGGCGACTCCGGCCGCGCCGCCCCGCAGCGCGCGCAGCCGCCCGCCCACGCGGCCCTGCACGCGCCGCGCGAAGGCGCGCCCGGCCGCGGCCCCGCAGCCCTGCCGGGCCGCCAGCAGCGCCACCAGCGCCACGGCCAGCACGTGCGGATCGCGCCCCCTCGGGCCAGGGAAGGCGGGCACAAACGGAGCCAGCCCCGAGGCGGCGTGCCCATAGCCAGGGGCCCTCCTCACAGCGGGAGGCCTCGAGCTGTTCTTTAATGGGGCCCAGGGACACACGCAGAGATAGGCACAACTCCCAGGATTCCCCCTATCGTTCCCACAGCTCCCTGATTTTCGTCCTACCCCCCACATTCCCATAGATCCCCATATTTCGACGATTGATTGCGTCAGTGATTTTTCCCTCATGAATTCTGTTGGCCTCCGAGGGCCCGCACGGGGCCCCGAGACCGCCGAGAAGCGGCCGCGGACGAAAGGCGGGTCCCGGGGAAGGGGTCGAGACCTCAGGGCCTGGTACGTCTTGGTCCTGCGATGCGGCACGGTGGCGGCCCTCCCTGGCGTCTCTTCATGCTTCCGGGGGGGGGCTTCTTGGCGGCGCGCACAAGGGGGTGGAGGGAGGGGGGAGGGCTTCGTAGAAGGAGGCTGCTTCTTAGAGGGCGCCGGCCTTACATCTATAGATAAGGCCCGCGCCCTCTAAGAAGCAGGGGCGCTTCTAAGAAGCCCTCCCCCCTCCCCCCACCCCCCTCTGCGCGTGGCTGAGCTTCGCCACGGCTGGATCCGCCTCGACAAAGGGGTCGGGAGAGAGCCCAGGAGGAGTCCAAGGACCGATTTGGAGCGGGCTGGGGTCGGGCGGGAGGGCTGGTTCTGTCTCGACTGGCCCTCCTCCGGAATAACTACACGACGCTGTGGGCGAGGCTGGCCTGTGCGTCTGCTTTCGGTCCGTCTATAAAAGGAGTCCCTTTGTGGTGGCCCGTAATGACAAAAATTGGGTTGATGGGGTGAGATTTCGTTGGCCTTCGAGACTTGCGCTCGAGCGTGGACCGTTCCCCAAAGTCCCACCCCGAATCGGAAGCACCCTGTCGGCAACTCCTGCCTCCCCCCCCTCGTGGTTGGGGGTGGTGGTGTCATTCCCGTGCTGTGACTCCTGTGCTATCGGGCACGTCCTCCTAAAGGCGGGTTTTGGACGAAACATGAAGAATAGTCAAAACAACTCCTCAAAAAAAGTAGCCCCAAATATGCTACTGTGCGAAGACTTTTGCGATATGACTCCGTGGACCGTCGCAGAAACCAGGATCCATTGACCGATCCCCAGCCCCAGCGGCGCGACCTGGGCCCCACTGGCCGCTTTTACCCCCCCTGGAGATGGGGATAGGGGATAGGGGCCGCTCCCCTCGGGTTTCGAGGGGAGCTGGGGTGGTAATTCGGCGGGGGTCTCGAAGGGGATAGGGGGATGGGGATGGGGATCGGTGAACCGAAACCGACACCGACCATCGACGCTGCGCCGACCCCGAGCAGCGCCGACGCGCCGACTCGAGCCAACCAGGCCCACGTCGCGAGCGCAGGGCAAGCCACGAAACGGCTCCCCCACACCCGGGCGGGGCAGCGCAAGGAGGGGGGGGGGTGCGGCCAGCTCCGCACGGGTCCCAGACCCGCGTCGGCCCCCCTTGGCGCCCATTGGCGCCGAGCCCCGTTGAGGGGCGCCCAAACTCCAGGCCACAGCGCGAGAACGGTGCAGGGAACGATGAACCATGTGTCCGCGCGGACCTCCGACTGTGTTCGTGCGCTGCTTCTTCTAATTATTCTTCTTTGGGGACAGGCCTTACGTACGAGACAAGGCTGCATCCATCGACAACCGCCCAAGTGGTTGATCTTCGGGGTGCCCCGGCAGGCGGTGGACATACATGTGTTTCGGCCCTGGGGTGGTGTGTGTGTGTTGTGTGCGTGTGTCTTGTTTGTATTGTGTGTTGTTTGTTGTGTGTGTTGTGTTGTGTGCTGTGTGCTGTGTGCTGAGTGCTGTGTGTTGATTGTTGTGTGCTGTGTGTTGTGTGTTGTGTGTTGTGTGTGTGTGTGTTGTGTGTGTGTGCTCTGTGTGCGATGTGTGTGTTGTGTGTGGGTGGGGGGGGGGCAACATGCATCCATATCCACTGCGTGTGGGCGGATGGCAATGGATAACTCCCCGCCTCGGAGTAGTAACTCTCGGCAATAATGACCTCTGCCGAAAAGGAAGACGGATAAGAAGAGGCATGAGGATGGTTGTTTGAGGTCCGCGTTCATGTCTTGGATTGGCGCTGGGGCCCTCCTGGGGGCGCCTCTAGCGCTGCCCGCTGCCCCTACCCTAGCGTTCCGCGCCACTCCAACACGCAAGGAGCCTCTGTAGCATGTCTAAGAAAACCCTACCTGTGGGCGGTGGAACTGGATAAATCCACACCTCGGAGGAGTGACTCTCCGCAACAGTGACCTCTGCCGAAGAAGAGGAAGACGGATAAGAGAGGCATGAGGATGAGTTATTTGAGGCTGCGCGAATGGCTTGGATTGACGCTAGGGCCCTCCTGGGGGCGCCTCAGGCGATGCCCCTCGCGTTCAGCGCCGCTCCAATACGCAAGAAGCCTGTATAGAGGTTCTAAGAAGCCCCCACGGAGCCTCGAAGGAGCCTTTAATGAGCTGCGAAGGTGACTACTCTAATCAGTCTCTGCGGAGTCTCACGGAGCCTCTGGGGGAGCTGAGTTCGAAGGAGCCCCTGAGGAGGTCCAAAGAAGCCCCCGAGCCTCTGAGGAGCCTCTGGGGATCCTCTGAGGAGTTCCTGAGGAGCTAAAGAGCCTCTCAGAGCCCTTCCGCGCTCCGCGTCATGCATAAACCCTGCCCTGGATGACTGTAGCAGAAGCCAAAACTTAGCACATGGGGGAAACAGGTCCTGATGGAAACGAGTCCTGCCTGGAACCTGGGGCCTTCCCCCAGGACGAGATCCTTCTTCTCCTGAGCCGTGCTCGGACGGTCCCGGGGCGCGTGGAGGGCCCCCCAAGAGCCCGCAAAGGGCAACAAAAACTGAGGGCCCCTTGTGGACCTGTTCCCCCCCTGGCGAACGAACAGTCCAGGGGCGCCCGCGCCGGTTGCCCGGCCCCGTGGCCTCAGCACCGCGCGCCCGTCGCCCCCGGTCGTCGCCCACCTGAGGGGCAGCGGCTCCCACGAGTGCCAGACGCATCCGCGTCCGCGCCTTCTGGGGGCGCGGTCCCGCGGATGCAGCAGGGCCCCGACCAAAGAGACTTCCCGTAGGAATCCCGACCCTCAGACCCGAGGAGGTCCTCCGATTCTCGGCGTGGGAGCGTCACGCTGCCTCCACTGCAGGACCCTCGAAGCCATTGAACACCAGGGCACCCTGCAGGCAGGCGGGGTGCTTCTTGGCATGGGCCTCCACTGTATCCGCGTCCGCGCCTTCTGGAGGCGCGGCCCCATGGACACGCACTCGCACGGACGCGTTCCGCGCGGGGCAAGCTCGCGAACGAAGCGCCCCGTGGAATCCGCAGGGTCGCAGGGCCCAAGGGCCGCGCCCGCCTGGGCAGCGGGCACGCATTATGTTTTGCCTGTTCGCCCACGAGGCTCAGAAGGGCTCCCCCTCCTCCTTCTCCTCCTGCTCCGCCTCCTCTTCCTCCTCCACCACCACCACCCCTTCCTCCGCCTCCTCCTCCTCCCCACTCCTCCTCCTCCGCCTCCTCCTCCTCCTCCTCCTCCGCCTCCTCCTTCTCCGCCTCCTCCTCCTCCGCCTCCTCCTCCTCCGCCTCCGCCTCCGCCTCCGCCTCCGCCTCCTTCTCCTCCTCCTCCTCCGCCTCCGCCTCCGCCTCCGCCTCCGCCTCCGCCTCCGCCTCCGCCTCGCCCCCTCTCCTCCCTCCTCCTCCTCCTCCTCCTCCTCCCTCCTCCTCCTCCTCCTCCTCCTCCTCCTCCTTCTCCTCCCCTCTTGCGCCTCCCATACCATCCTGTCGGCTCCTGAGAATCGACGCTAACCGACGTTGGTCGACACCAAATCGACGCTCATCGACGCCAATTCGGCGCTATCTAATCGACTACCAGACGCCAGCCGACGCAAACGCACCCCAAACGCGGAATTCTGCGAGGGCACACAAAGTGCCATGATTTGCTACCGAACTCCCCTATCAAGGGAGCCCCCAGAGATTGAACACGGCCCCAAAGTCCGCGAGACCAACCTCGTGATACGAACGTTCGGCGTAAACTCGAAAGAACAACCTGGACTCGTGTACGTGTACGTCCTCCTTTCGTTCCTGACCATCGCTGCACCCGACCTTTGAGGGGCAGCGATAGGGGGGGACTGGCATGGGGGGGGCACATCGACCTGGGATGGGCGATACATCGCCGATAGATCGGCGATGGCTCCCCGATAGCAGATCCGCACCTCCCTGGGCGGGGTAGGGTATCGGGCCCTCATCGGCGATGAGTGGGCGCTTGGGGTCGATGCATCCCCCCTTATGCCTTTGCCCCCCATACAGTCGGACCTAGAACAGAAGAACATCCTTCAAGAACGTGAAACCCTCCGCCGACCGAAACACACAGAGCGTCCAAGGGTACCCTCCCCAGAATGCACGAGAACTTCCAACGAAACGGGAGAACATTAGGTTAGCCCCCCCGAGCCGACCTCGATCTTATACCTCGGTCCGACCGTAGCAGAGATCCGCACCTTCCTGGGCGGGGTGGGGCCATCGGGCCCTCATCGGGATGATGTGTGGGCGCCTGGGGGTCGGCGATGCACCCCCCCCTAATGCCGTCCTCCCCCCCTTTCGTGGTTCCCGACCGCCCCCCCCCCCCCCCAAAAAAAAAAAGCTTGGGCGCGAGTGAAGGGAGGGCGACTCATGTGAAAGGGCCCATTTAGCAGGGACCGACCGCCCCGGCATTCCTGTAGTCCTACCACGAAATGTTCTCAGAACCCCAAAAAGTTCTAATAACAAAAACCATGTTCTTAGAACAGAAACCCCATGTGTTCAAACTAGACAGGCTCCGCCAGAAATGTTCTAAGAACATTTCGTGGAAACCACAAAAGGTTCTTAGAACATTGTTTGGTAGGGCTATGGGTGAGCCAGGACGCTTCGCCACTGCTTGAGCCCAGGGACACACAAATAAATACACACACAAATCCCAGGATCCCATTATGTGCTTGCACATTGTTGGATTTTCGTCTCCCCCCCACTTCCCATATGTCCCCATATTTCTGGGGAATCGACGATTCCTTGTCTGTGCTTTTCCCCTCCTGGTAAAGGGGTGGGGGGGGGGGGGAAAGGGGCCCTGTTCGGGCCGCGGAGGCCCCCTCAAGGGCCCCTTTTCTGCAGCCCTCCCTGCCCCCCCCCCCATTTGTCGCCACCCCATTACAGGGATGGACAGACCCCCCTTTAGTAAAACGTGGTTTAGTGAAAACGACCTGAGGCCCAAACCTGGTGGGCGCAAGCCTGGAAAATAACGGTCACGACGCCCTCTCGAGAACCGAAAACGGACAATTCACTAATCGACGTGTCACTGTTGGGGGTTCTGTCCACCCCCGACCATTACAGTCGGACCTCGGCCAGAAGAACACCCCTCAAACACACGAGGCCCTCCGCCGGCCAACACGCACGGAACGTCCCAGGGCACCCCTCCCCCAGGATAGCACCAAAACATCGGACAGGCACGGAGAACAGTACACCCTGCGAGATGGTTAAGAAATCATGGGTTAAGAAATTCACAGTCTCAGAACTTGAATAAAACCCCCGCATTTCTATTAAAATCTTAGGATCTACATTGAAACATTAAGAATAATCGAGACTCTGGTCGAAAGCTCAAATTTTCTTAAGCATCGCCTAAGGTGTAGGGCACCCTCCCCGAACCGACCTCGATCTTGCGCCTCGGTCCGAATGTATCGTTGCTCCCGACCGCCTCCCCCCCAAAGCGCTGCCAGGCATGAGCTGGATCGAATCGAGAGATCGAATCGGATCGGAAACGGGTCGGATCGCCAACGCATCGTCCCGAACTGGACCAAAATCGACCCGCCGCGACGGACTCCCGCCAGCACTGGCCGATGCTGGCGAAACGGCCCGCGTCGAGTCGGATCGGAATCGCGGCCCCAGCTGGCGAACCGAATCGCATCGCATCGCATCGCACCCAGACCCCCGACGTCACGATCTTTCCATGACGCGCCCCCCAGCAGCCTGGGCCCCTTCTCCGGGACCAGCATTGCCTCGTCTTTCGACGGCCCCGAGGCCCGCTGAGGCCCCCCAGACGCCGAAAATAGCGAAAAAAACCCTCCTCCTCCTCCTCCTCCTCCTCCTCCTCCTCCTCCTCCTCCTCCTTCTCCTCATGACTCGAGGGGGTCTGGGTACGGCAGGCCCGTGCCGTGAAGACCCCGGCGCTGGCTCCCGACACTGCGGGGGCCGCTCCACGACCGGCCATTCCCGCAACGTCAGGACCGTGCAGCATCGACCGATTCTGGGCCGCCGCCGGTCGAAACGACGCGAACCGTTGAGCAGGGACCGACCGCCCCGGCATTTCCATAGGCCTACCAAGAGATGCTCTCAGAACCCAAGAGAATTCTAAGAACCAAGACATTATTCTTAGAACACAAGCCCGATGTGTTAAAACAAGGCAGTCTGAGTCAGAACCGAGACCACACAATACGATCTTAGAACATTATTTGGCAGACCTCTAGGCGAGCCAGGACGCTTCGCCACTGCCTGAGAAACGACGCGAACCTACCGTAAGCGACCCAGGCCTCCTGTCGTGCCTGTCCCCCTACAGGCGCTTCTTAGACAGGAAATAAAAAACAAATGCCCAAAAATAAAATGAATCACAAGTAATCAAACAATGCTCCGAAAAATGGCCCCCCGACTACTTCTTGACGCTCTCTGCATACTCCTCCTGTAGGAGGGGCCTGCCCAACTCGACCCTGGCTGCCCCCCCCTCCGGGGCCGCCGGCGCGCCATCGACAGGGAAGGTGGGGGCCACGAAGTCCGCCGGCTCGACGACGCCCGCGTCGCCCGCGCCCGCCCCCTCACTCTTATCCGCCACTGCGGGGTGCTACGTACTCCTAAAACGACGCGAAGATCGGGACAAAATCGGATCGGGATAACTCGAAATCTCTGAGAATCGGCGGGCTTGGAGGATGTATTGGGCGCCGCGGCCGCTCCAGAGCGTTCCGGAACGCTCTGAGAGCGCTCCGGAACGCTCTGGAGCGATCTATCCCGATCCTAGCCCTGTTCTAACTCCTCCTGTAGGAGGGGCCTGCCCGACTCGACCCTGGCTGCCCCCCCCCCTCGGGGCCGCCGGCGCGCCAGGCGCCCCGCCGCCGCGAGGGCGCGCATGGCCGGGCCGCGGCGCAGGGACCGCTCGCAGGCGGCGGCCGCGGCGGCGCAGCCGAGCGCGTCGGGCGCGAGGCGGCGGGCGCCCACGGCGTGGCGGCGCGCACCGCGTGGCCGTCGCTCGGATCAGGTCGGACGAAACGTTAAAAATAAAACATTTCATAAAAAAAAACAGAGAAGCCGTCCCCACCCTATGTTTCAACTATTGGGGATATGCCTCCTGCAGGGGGACACGCCCGACGTAAGGCTCAGACCCAGAGATCCGACGCTCCAGCAGTTGTCTTGTCCCCCCCCGCCGGTGCACGCTGGACTATTTAGTTTCTTGTCGGGAAGGTGGTGAGGGCCAAGCCCCGAGCAGTACGTCGGCAGCACGGCAAGCGCTCAGTCATTACCAGAGAGCTCCCACCTGCCACGAGGCGTCCCAGGGGCCCTTCGCGGAAGCGCTTCCCTCACACTGAGCGGCGGCAGTGGAGCACGGGAGATCACGACGCTCCAACAACAAATTGGAGCGGGCTGTCTGTTGGGCTACTCGAGGGTGGCCAAGAGGGGGGCGTCTAAGATGGGGGGCCGGCGGCATGTGCGCGGCCCAAAGGGGGGGGGCCAGGGACGCAGTGAAACAAGGAGAGGCGCCATGAAATCTGGAGAGGTATCACGGCCCACGCCTTGATATCCCCCCCCAGTCATCACCCCCCTCTTTGCCGCCCTCCTCCTCCTCCTCCTCCTCCTCCTCCTCCTCCTTCTCCTCCTCCCTCCTGTAGAAGAAGAAGCCTTCCTCTTTCCTCCCTCCTCCTCCTCCTCCTCCTCCTCCTCCTCCTCCTCCTCCTCCTCCTCCTCCTCCTCCTCCTCCTCCTCCTCCTCCTCCTCCTCCTCCTCCTCCCCAGCCGCGGCCTCCGGAGGGGCCCTCGCCGGGCCTCGGGACCGTCACACGATCAGCGACTCGGGCCGACAAGACGGGCCCCAGGGAGCGGGGGCCCGGGCCGCCGGGGCGCACGCCTCGAGCGCATGGGAGCGGCGGACGTCTGGGGACGTCCGTCATTTGTCGGTGATGTTCCCCAATCAGTGCTGGCACTGAAGGGGCCCTAGCAGAGGTTGAGAGATTAATGGCGAAAATTTCCCGCCGATTCTGATCGCGTGCTGGGTTCCCGGGTTCCCTGCTCCGGGTTCCCGGGTTCCCGGTCGTTGGTTCTGGCCCGATTTCGGTGGGTTCTGGGTTCCCGGGCTCCCCGGTTCCCGGTTGATCTCCTAGAATCAGCGAACACTATCCACTGATTGGGGCTTTCTCTGGTGCAATTTTTAATTGCCCGAGGATCCGGGAGGCTCCTCGATGATCCTCGCCGGGGAAAAATGCACACGCATGGTCGATCCCAAGGCATAGGGCGAGAGTGGAGACTGGCTCAGGGGTACGTTCCAGGATTTCCTGCGCATCTGGCGGCGCAGCCGGCGCAGAACATCAGGACATATCGGAAAGTCCGGAAAAGTCTTGGGACCTATCATTAGGTCGGGCATGTCCCCCTACAGGCGGGCTTTAGGCGAAAATTAACAATAGGCCAAACAAATTCAAAAATGGTAAAATGTGGTCGAAAAATCATCCCCTGAATATTTTTTGACTATTTTTGGAATTTTCCTCCTGTAGAGGGACGTGCCCGACTTCACTCTTGCTCCTCTGAGCACAGGCCCAGATCTCTGACGGTGTGCCTCCCAAGTTCAGAGGCCTCCCAGCTTCGGGGAGACGCCGGTCGGCGGCGTGGCTGGGGAGAGGAGGGAGAGAGAGAGAGAGGGAGAGAGGGAGCAGGCCTTCTCAGAGGGGCGGCGCTTCTCAGAGGATCTCGCACCGTCTGAGGAGTCTTCTGTGTCTTCGGGGAAGGCTCAGAACGCTTGCTTCTCGGAAGAACGGAGGCTTTCCGAGCTTTCTGAGAAGGCCCGCCCCATCTCACTCCCCACCCCGGGCGCGCGGCCGAATAAGACTCGGGCTCGGACGACTCGGGCTGGCCCGACAAAAACGTCAAGAAGACGACGAGGCCCAGTCTGAAATGTGACGCGCACTCCCGCTGCAAACATCCCACGAAAGCTGGACCGCCAAAACTCAGAGACGGGCCCGTCACAAAACTTAAGTCGGGCCTGTCCCCCTACAGGGGTATTTTCGACGAAAAATGAAAAATACTCCAGAAATGCACGAAAGAGGTCAAAAAATGCACAACAAATAGTTTGGACTTTGTTTGGGGGTACTTCCAATTTCGTGGAACATCCCCCTGTAGGGGGACAGGCCCGACTTCACACAAAACGTCGGCTACCCTGAGGTCCGGCGACCTCGAGTCTTACGTTTCCTGGACGGGTGGGGTCCGCGTACAGTCGGGGCGTTGACCTAAGGAACCCTAAATAAGGAACGAGGCCCCTTGTTTCCATAAGGTAAACTTCGATTCCCCATCGAAAACGTACGGACAACCTAAGGCAAGCTGCGAAACAATTAAGGAACACGGAGCCCCTCCCCAACGAAAAGGGTGCCTTGTTCAGCGCACCGACTGTAGGTGGGCTCGGCACATCGCGCCGCACCGCCTAGTGCATCGGCGCTGCACTGGCACCTCCGGCGCGGAGACAATCGGGCTCCACACCGAGCCGTGTCGCCCACGCACCGGCCCTGCGGCGCGACTCTCCGACCCCCCACCTGCTTCGACCCCCTGTGGCGACTAGCGTCTCGCTGGAGGCTTCTGCGAGGGGGGACGGCAGAGTCCCACGGGGGGGGGGGGGGGGCGGGGAGGCCCATAGATCGCCCGTTCCGGCAGCCACTTCCCCGGAGACTCCCTCACAGCGTATGCAGGCATCGCGCTCTCTCTCTTCCTCAATGCCGGCTGCATGTTCGGTCTGGGCGGCCAGCGCTCCCCTGGTAAAAACTCTGCCAGGTGCACTCGGCCGTGCTCTCAACCTTGACCCCTATAATTAGCCGACCTCCCCCTGCTCGACCCGCCGCTTCGCTCTTGCTGCTGTTGGACTGCTCTGCTGGGGTATGTTGCTCCACCCATGCGTTCTTCCTCGCATTCGGCCTCCAGGGCTGGCTATCGGACCATGGGGCTGCCGAACATGGGCTTGGAGTGAAAACTGGCCCTGGGGAAGATGCCAGAAACCCTGGGGAACGGGTGTCCTGGGACCCCAGGGGTCGGTGGACACAGATACAGTGGGATCTGTGCCAGGAGAACATCCCTCAGGAACATGAACATGAGACCCTCCGTCGGCCAAAACAAACAGAACATCCAAGGGTCGAGCAGGGACTGGCCGTCCCGGCATTCCCATAGGCCTACCACGAAATGTTCTTGGAACCCACATATGTTCTAATAGCACAAACCATGTTCTTAGATTCTTAAAACATAAAACCGATAAAACAAGGTAATCCCAGCCAGAACTGTTCCAAGACGATGTCGTGCAGACAACAGAAGTGTCTTAGAACATGTTTTGGTGGGCCTGTAGGCAAGCCAGGACGTTTCGCCACTGCATGAAAGGGTACCCTCCCCAGGATGCACAAGAACATCCAACAAACACGAAGAACACTCGAGTACCCTCCCCGAACCGACCTCGATCTTATACCTCGGTCGGACTGTGTCTTTGCGCCCCCCCCCCCCACCCACCCCCGAGCATCTCCATATCCGCCGCCTGCCGAGTTCCACGATGGTCGATCCCCTGGGCGGCGTGGGCGGTGGTCAATGGCTGTATCTAGGGGAACAAAAAATGACATAAACTGCGAGTTGACCCAGGGTCCCTCTAGAGGCCTTCTGAGGATGCCAGACACTCAGCCCCTTTCCGCAACCTTTTGGTTCGATCAGGGGCTTCGGCCCCTTGGAGGCAGACACATGTTAGCCTGAGCTGATACTGAAAACGGAGGCATACGAGAGCTCACGCTTACGTTTCCGCCGCTCCACCGTGTTCGGTGGTAGCGGAGCGGTGCGTTGCGCTTCCTCGGACCAGAGTTTCAGAGACAGCACGGTGGACAGTGACCACACGGCGGAGACATCGCGGCCCATCGCGACAACATGGGAGATGACGAGGACGGTGCAGAGGTCGTGGCTCCAGTCACGCGGGAGGGCGCGAGTGCCGGAAGGTACGTTCCGCCACCCACCATCAGGGAGTCAACGATCGAGGAGCTGCGGATGTATGTGCGCAGATTACGGATCTGGTCAATGGTGGCGACGGGGATCCCAGCTCATCAGCGGGGCCTCCACGCCTACTACAGCATCCTGGAGGGTGGAGACGACCAGATCCAGAGCATCGTGGAAGGTCTCGACCAGAGCGAGCTCGAGGGCGAAGACGGAGTAGAGAACATCGTGAGGGCGCTCGAGCAGGAGATCATGCCGAAGAACGTGTACGAAAAGTACATGGAGTTCGAGCACACGTTCTACGGATCGGAGCGCAAGAAGGGAGAGAACCTGCAGCAACACTCGATGAGGATCAAGAAGGCGTTCGACAGGCTGAGGAAGCTGCAGGTGACACTGGACGACGTGCAGGGATACATCCTCGTCCGGCAGGCGAAGCTGGACCACACGGAGCGCATGGCCGTGATCCTGCAGACGTCGGGTTCATTGGCGTACGATGACGTGAGGACGGCGCTCAAGGGGCTTCGAGACGATAGCTCGCTTGAGAAGACCACGAGGAGCTACCAGGGGGACACCTCGGGGCAGCAGAAGAGTGGCAAGGCGTTCTACGTGGATGAGGATGACGAGCCGTACGAGGACGAAGACCCGATCGCACAAGCGCTGATGGCGCTGGAGGGCTCCGACCAGGAGGAGATCAACGAGGAGGACATCCTTGACGAAGATGAGGCCTACGCGGTGCTGGCGGCGTGGCAAGCAGGACCTGGAGGCCGTGGCAGCTGGCAGGATACGAGGAGGATCGTCCGCGACCGCAAGACGTCCAGGGGCTACCGTGACGTGAGTGAGCCGAAGGGGAAGTCCAGCGGCCGCGGCAAGGGCAGCATGGAGTACCAGAGGGAAGCCCGTAAGAAGATCGAGGAGCTGAAG